TGTAGGATGAAATCCTAATACGGAGTTTTTTTTTTAAAGCGATGAAACCCTAATATTGATCGCATGGAACTATCCAATAGATGAGAAATACAGAGGCATTCCCCTCTCACCTGGCTCTCGAGCATGCGCGTGAACAAAGATCCATGCTTGTGGCTTTCAATCTTTTCTAAAAAATTGATCAACGGTTGAAATTCAGAAGGCATGATTTTTGTGGCTGGAGATTCGTTCGTGTTCCCACGCTCATTGCAGCTGCGACTGCGCCAGTTCTCCCTGTTAGAACTCTCTGCTTTCCTCGATTTGCTCACTGAGCTTTGCACGTCCGAGTTCTCTTTGGTGCCCTCCTCATTAACCTTTGACTCGGCCACAGATTCCAACAACTCGGCCCAATCCGTCACCGATTCGGTTTTCACCAACTCGCGAACCGGCTCCTTCTCAACACTGTTCGAACTGCCATTACAGGAATCCGCTCGAACCGCTTTCCTCTCTCTTTCTTTGCGCGGTTCATCTTCTACATTTCCGGTTCGCCCCGCTCCCGAGGGTTTCTGATCGTCGGAGGTAACTGCTCGTGCATTACTACCGCCTTTCTGGTCTGTTGAAATCGATTCATTCATCGACTGTTGGTCCTTCTCGCCGGTGACTAGATCTACTGCGTTTGATTCCGGAGTTATCTTTGCATCGCCTTCAATTTTGTGCTCGCAGCAGTCATCTCCCTCTCCAATAATCGCCAGATCTGATCTTTCGCCGTCTCTCTGACTCCGATCTCTCTCTTCTGTTAGTGTCTTCACCTTCAATTGCAGAGACCTAGATCACAATCGAAGAGACATCTCTCAATTTTTCTCAGAAAAAAATGCTTTGAAAGCCAAATAATTATCATTTAGATCCTCAAATTTCGATGCCACACATATGTATACACATTTATGCATCGGATTATAGGAATATACGAATTACAGGATGGAGAGGTCATAACGCTCCACATCGCGTTTCAGTTCAGCGACTCGCAGCTTCCGCAACTCCTCAAGCAAGGGGACTGCCGTCTCTGTCCGTTCGTTATGCTCGTAACCGACACCGTTCACTTCGCCGGAAGTGAAACGGCGCTTTAGATGGATGTATTTAAGCTTACAGTTCTCGGGCGATAGCATCATCGCTGGAACCGAACTCCGTTTCTGGAGCTCGACGGCCACGCTATCCCAATTCTTGGTGCCGTGATGGTTGACCGCGCACGCTAACAGAAGTTCCTCCCATGTGCTCCACCGTGCCTCCGTCTCCGGCGTGTTCTCCGACGTTCGTTCCAACCTGGCCATAAACGAGTGCCAAAAATTGCCGAATGACCCGTACCGTCTGGATGTATTCCATCAATTTCTCCGTAGGGGTGAGCAAATATGCAATTCCTAAATTTCCTGAAAATATGAAAAACATTGAATCGACAAAATATCAAAAAAGAATCGTATTATACCAAATAGAATGATGGGTCTGGTATTTCGAATCGATACGAGATGATTTCCACAACTAAAAAATCACGAACGGAACATATATACGATTATGTTATAAAAATGATAAAGTTTTTATATTTCTTCATTAAATAATAAATTCATAGAAAAGTTGGTTCAGGTGTTGAAGAATTACAAAAAATATTTTATTTAAATAATAACAATTCCTAAATCTTGAAAATATGAAAAAAATTGAATCGACAAAATATCAAATAAGAATTTTATTATACCAAATAGAATGATCGGTTTGGTATTTCAAATCGATACGAGATGATTTCCAAAACTAAAAAAACACGAACGGAACATATATATGATTATGTTATAAAAATGATAAAGTTTTTATATTTCTTCATTAAATAATAAATTCATAGAAAAGTTGGTTCAAGTGTTGAAGAATTACAAAAAATATTTTATTTAAACAATAATTTATTTAAATTCTAATTTTTTGTAGATAAATATAAAAAAATTAACAAACATATGAAATACTATTTTGTTATCATTTGTCTTTTTTTTGAAATACGGAGTACGAAGTATAAACTAAACTAAGTTTTATAAGTATTTATTGCATTTAGTTATTCTTTTTCAATATTTTTTTATCTTTCCTTATTTGAAATATACTTTTATTTTTTAAATTAAAAAGTTTTGTGAATTTCAATGTGTAAATTAGGTACGTATATGTATGTGTGTGTCTATATATATATATATATATATATATATATATATATATATATATATATATATATATATATATATATATATATATATATATATATATATATATATATATATATATATATATATATATATATATATATATATATATATATATATATATATATATATATATATATATATATATATATA